TTATCAGCGCTGTTCCCAGGCCAAAAGTCAAAAACACAGCACTGCACCAGCTACCAAGGAGGAGAAAAAATTACTGCTACTGCTGAACCCAGGACAAACTTAAACAGGGAAAGTTTAGATTGGATATAAGGAGGAAGTTCTTTACTGTAAGGGTGGTGAGGCACTGGAATGGGTTGCCCAGGAAAGTTGTGAATGCTCCATCTCTGGCAGTGTTCAAGACCAGGCTGGACAGAGCCTTGGGTGACATGGTTTAGTGTGAGGTGTCCCTGCCCATGGCAGGGGGGTTGGAACTTGGTGATCTTAAGGTCCTTTCCAACCTTAACTATTCTATGATTCTAAGGGCTAGCTGCTCAAATATCCAGTTTTAATCTGAAGCTCCCTTTTACACATATCCATGTGTTAGGACTCGCAAGGAATTGACTATCTCCTGCTGTGTATCTTTTTGGCACTGTTAAATGGTTCATTATTTTATTCTTAAATTAAGGGCACAGGTATACTCCAGTTGCTTGTAATGCCTTCAGTTCTTATCAGAGTATATGTCTTTACATGTCACATTTGGATATTACTTGGTTTGCGTGTTCTCCTTCAAGTAATTTTGCAGAAGGCAGTGCTAGTAATTGGGCTGTAGACACCCTCCTTAGCAGTCTAATCTCCAGCTGCATTTCAGTCACGTATTCAGACTCCACATTAGACTCCCCACTTTCTAGCATTTCTAGCATTGCTTTAGCTTATGTAAGTCTCTTCTAGAAAATGAATGGTGCAATTTGAGCATGATGATGTCAAAGTTCTTAATGTGTAGGCAAAGTAAAAAAGGAATGTTGTTGGCTTTTTTTTCTATTTATGGTAAAAAAAAAACACAAAAGAAATAGCTAATAAGAATGGTTTAAAATTAATGGCTTAAACCAAGAATGGTTTAAAATTACTAATAGAGTATGTGTTTAAATAATTCATAATTCCATTTGACGTTTTCTGCTATAGTATATCTTGGAGACCAAAACCATAGATAGCATGAGAAAAGAGAACCCTAGTTGAACTAGCTAAAGAAATACTTTTTTTTTAAATGTCCGGCAATTTGTAGAATAGCAGGATTGATCATCTTCTCACCTATCAGCAAAGAACAGACATAAATAAATGTAAATATATGCAATGTAGCAAATGAGGTTCTACCCTTACTATGATGATTTTCTTAAATGTGTTTTAAATGATGATAAATAGCTCTGATAAAGTGAACCTTGTGTTATAGGGAAAAATACATATCAGAATATGTAAAAAGTAGGGACGTAGCCAGATGTTCTCATATGGTAAATTAAAAATTTGCTAAATTGCTTCCTTTGCTTAAAGCTATTACAAAACACGTTCTTTAGAGACAGTGCAGTTCTTGCTGCTGTTTAATTGAAACTAGCAGCTAGTCAGCATCTTCCAGGCCTGTACTCTGGGTTGACTTCAGTTTGAGTGGGATGTTTGAGGTGCATAAGACAGTAACAGATTGGGATGGGGGATAATTTAAGGGTTAACTTTTGCTGTTTACACAGAAGTAGAGGGACTTTTTACAGGGGCATGTAGTGGCAGGACAAGGGGCAATGGCTTTAAACTAATAAAGGATAGCTTAGATTAGATACTGGGAAGAAATTCTTTACTATGAGGGTGGTGAGCCACTGGAACAGGTGACCCAGAGAAGTTGTGGATGCCCCATCCCTGGAAGTGTTCAAGGCCAGGTTGGACAGGGCTTACAGCAACTTGATCTAGTGGAAGGTGTCTTTGCCAATGGCAGGGGGTTGGACCTAGATAAGGTTTATGGTCCCTTCCAACCCAAACCATTCTATGATTCTGTGAAGCAGAAGCTTTGTATAGGGTATCTGTAGGACTGATGCAAGGCAGTTGGCAACATAATGCAGTGAAATAAAAGGCTGTTTAAGAGAATTAAGCCTTATTCCAGATACTTGTCTGTAAAACAGTATGTACTGAATACGCTAAGTTCCTTCATTACTGAATACACTAAGTTCCTTCATTTAAGAACTTCAAATGGGATGTTGCTTTTTTTCATGTAAGCTGTGTATTAAATGACTTGAGGTGAAGTGTGGGACAGAACACTAAAGTATTAAGCCTTTGTGTGTGTAGGTATCCATGTGTGTGTTTTCTTTTGGTGTTTCCGTCCATCAGTGACCTCTGTGATTTTGTGAAGGTCTCTTCTGTGTTGGAATCACATGCTTAGAAGACTAAAATGGAGGTAGAAGTGATGTCCTTGGGTCTGATGGCTTATGAATAGCAAATGCCTTCTGTATCTGCTTTTTGGCTGGAAAATCCTAAAAATAGGTGGGAAGGGATCTCAGGAGAACATATTTGATCTTGCTGGCTTCAACCTTAGAAACTGTGCCAGAGCTATTTGTAAGAGATGTTTGTCTGACCTGAAAACCGGCACTGATGGAGATTTCCTGTCTATCCTAAGCAGTTAGTTTTAGTGCTTTACTATATGTAATTTTTTTTCCTCACCTCCTTTACTGCAGCTCAGGTTTGTTACTGGGAACCCAAGTTCTGAGGAGAGGTGAAAAGCACTGTATTACGTACTTCTCTGTAGCTTCCTGGTATGTAATAGTACTGGAAGTTACTTCCTTCAGTCTTTATCTCCGCTAGATGAAGGAACCCTACTTACTGTCAAGTTTTTTACATACTACTTGCTAGACTTCTGATTGCTTGTATTACTTCTGCTTGACCCAGATCTCTTTTGAGCTGCAACACTGAAAGCTGGACTGAAATGAGCCTTATTTGCATGGCTGTCTGCAGCTGGCACTGAGGAGCCTTGATCTCTCCACTCACTGAAGACATCAGCCAGGTCAAACTTTCCAGGAAAGGAGACTCAAAAGCTGTGTGCTGCAGTGTTCAGCTCAGTGGTGCTGGAGTCTCTTGACGCATAACCCCTAACTGCAATGCTGAAAGGATAAAAAAAATCATTTAGTGCTGAGAGGTAACAAGTGGATATGGCTAGCAGTAGTACTTATAAAATGCCAGTGGAACAAATTATTTAGAAACATCTGTTAGTAGAAACTAATTGAATACTGTGTAGATTGGAATGTATAAAGCAGGACATAGCCAAGAATTAATGAGAGAGAGAATGAATTGGCAGGTGGATCCCCTCATCTGTTTTCCTTCCCAGAATAGCCTGTTTCTAGGGCCAGAATGGGTAGAATAGAATGATGAAACAACTGGACGCACAAACACAGTGTAAGCGTAATTATGTTGGAGAACAGTGAAAACGTTGTTAAATGGCTGGTAGAGAGTTGCTTGCTCTCTCAACTCCTGCTTGTTTAACACACAAAGCTCATTGGTGGATAGTTTGACTGAAAGGAGGTGTTTTTATGGGTTTTGGCATTCAGTAGTCATTGATCACAATCCAACACTTTTCTGTTTTAAGCAGTGATATTTTTGATGGCTGTCTTTGAAATTCTATGCAAATTACAAATGCTGTTATGTCCTTCTGGTCAAAGTATGGGCTAGGGATCTTCATCTGCGCCCAAATTTGAGTTTCTTTGTTGTGCTAGGGATCAGACAGCTGTGGTCCTTGAAAAATGTGTGTAGTTCAACCTCACGGCTGAAAACATGTTTCTCCTTTGCAGGAAGAGAACACACACACAGGTACATATGGCTGCTGGGGCAAGGCCTGGACCCTGCAGTAACTTGTGTGGTGATCGTTTTGACTAGAGCCTTCTGGCAGTATTTTGCACCCTAATAATAACGACAACAGGAGTTTAACTACCCTGGAACAGTCTGCTGCCCCAGGGAGAAGATCTAGTCTAGTTAGTACGTTCTTGTGTCTTTATTCCACCCCATCAGCGCAGAAGCAGAAAGGAGAGCAGTATGAATGATAGATGATTGTGAAAATGGATATTTCACTAAACTAGCAAATGTAGACAACCCCTATTCTTAAAACCCCTTTGAGGATAAAGAAAATAAGCTGTAAAAAGCATGCACAGATGGATGTTATTCTGATAGTAACATGCTGTATTGATATGTTAGAAAGGAAGGAATGCTAATTGTGCAAAATTGTAGGCAGTGAGGTCGTGGGGAAAGTACTGAACTGTAAAGGTTTTCCATTTGCAGGATAGTTCAACTCTCTCTGATTTGACTAATGTATCATCAAAGGTGTTCTGGCCAGGACCAGCCAGGCTTCTTATCTGTCATGGATGTGATTTTTGCTAATATACTGGCACAGTACAGAATATATGTTCCAGAAATAATAATTTGTAATTGAAACTGTGTTCCTTTAATTTCTACACAGGGAAAGAAAACAAAGAAATGTCTTACATAGAGAAATATTTACTCTAAGAAATTTATAGTTATGGTAGAGTCAATCTCTTAAGGACCACTGTTTCTTTTAATGAAAGTTAAAAGTAAATCTTTTTGTTGGATGATAAAATAAGCATAATTCAGCACAGCCTGGAATGATATAATTGTTTAAATGCTATAATTACTTGTACATTTTCTGCTGAAATATATTGCTGATCATATATGATTCTTCAGTTCTTGACCTAATAACAATGCAGTTTGTTAAAAGGTCAGACTTTAAATGTGTAACTGCCATCTAAGAGTGTTTTAAAACTGAAACAGCTAAGAGTAGGAGCTTTCTTAGAATTGAATTCAGAGCTGTTTCTCTAGGAGAAAAGCACAGATTGTAACTTTGAACCAATTCTTTGAAGCCTTACCAAATTAAAACTCTGTGAAAGTGCTGAGAAGCCTGCAGTTTTGTCCTTGTCATAGAAGAAAGTAGCTTAGCATCCTGCTTGTCTGATGTTTTCCATTGTAGTCTTAGCAATTCATCCTTGAGCAAAACACTGATATATTTTATCAAAAGGAGAAGAACTGTCTGTGAGGTAGATTTTACTTTTTGTTGATTGACCTTTATTTCTTCTTCACGTAAAATGGAACCTTTTTTTGTCACTGATGAGTAAATTTTTGTGTGATTTTTTTGTTTTGTTTTGTTTCTGTTTTTTTTTTTTAATTTCTAGCTGATAAATTTAGACGGAAACTGGAAGAACTGGAGAAAGAGAAAAAGTCTTTAAAATTTCAGCTTCCTTCAAGGCATCCTTCAGTTAGCAGTTTTTTGGACCGGTTTGTTACCCAAGTTCAAGCAGCGTTGTGCTGGGCTGCTGATCATCGGTAAGTTTGTTGATTCCCTGTTATGTAGAATGGTGCTTCTGTTTTTGTCTAAGTACAGAATGCAATTCATGAATAATTCTCATAAAGAGTTTTAAGGACCTTCTAACATATCAATATGGAGCTTTTTTTATGAAAATCCCCTCCCACCTTCCCTTTTTTTTTTTCTTTCTACAGTTCATTTAGAATTGCCCTGAGAAACATTGATCATGTCGAACTGGTGAATTAAATGGAACTTTTCTCACTGTTATTGAGTAGGAATGGGATTGAATCCTTGACACTTGGCAGCTTGAGCATACAGCAGCAAGGCAGCTTGAGCAATGGTTCCCTGTGGAGTTAATTCTGATGCTCCTTTACAAGCAATGAGAGGATATTTAAATATAAAGTAAAAACTTTTTTTTTTTTTCCCAAATGAACAGATCTTTGGGAGCTTCCTTTTATGCATCACTTGTTAGGTGGCAGTAATGTGCTCAGCACTGTACAAAGTCACAAAAATGATTTCTCGACCTTCTCTTGAAGGGATAACAGCTTCAAAGATTAGGGGAATGAAGATGCGCCGGATGACCCAAGGGGGGTAGTTAGCTTAAGAAGAAAAATTTCTCTATTTCTAGGTTGGTCTTCAGCTATGCTACCAGTTACTGTTATTAGAAGCAAGAGGATTCTTCATAGATATTGGGAGCTATTCTTAAATGCAATAGCACAAATGAAAGAAGAAAAATCTTTTGTTTTCTGGCAGCTTGTACATAGAAAGGCTTCAGTGTGCTAGTCAATACATAGTTTTTGATAGACATGAAAATTGGGTAAAACCAGCACAGATAATAGGATTTCATTGCTAAATTTGAGACTTTTAAGGGTATTTTTAGTCTCTATTTATAGTATTTAGGAATAAGACAGGTTTAAAACAAACTGCATGCCCTCAGAGTTTTTTGCTTCTACCTTCTGAGGCCCTAAGCAGCTTTTTTGCCATTCCTTAATGATTTAGGGTACAACATCTTGTATTTTGTCATTGACATGTGTTTGCTTTATAATGATTTTGGCTTTAGAGGTGCTGTTGTTTTTATTGTCACAGATACTAAGTACTAAAGCATCCCTGAAGAACATAGTCTGCTTCTTTTTTCTTATATAATGTAGATATATTTTTTGTATAATAATATACTGAATAAATAATATATACATTTATGAAACTAGTGCTGTTATTTGATTATATCTGTATATCTGTTTGCACAGGTCTGAGAGCAATGCCATTCTTCAGGGTCAGATGAATATCCTCTTCACTTTTGTGTCCTGTGCATACTCCTTTCTTTGAGCTTGTGTTTGTTGTGACACCCTTTCTTTTTCTTGCTTGATTCTTGTAGCCTTTCACGCTGCTTTGTTTGTGGTCTGACTCTTGTTGATGCAGCAGGCCTGCCCGTTGTCTTCAATACAGGTGTTCAAAATCTTTCTTTTCCAACAGTATTTTTAGATAGGACAAGATTGAAAATGTTACCACTTCTTCACGAAAAAACTTGTAGGCTTCAGTTTTTATTTTGATTCTGAATGTGAACAAAACCAATATACCCAAGATTTCTTTTTTCACTGGAGAATTAGAAAGATGACAAGGCTAGCCCCATCTGACCAAATCATTGCAGTTTCACAGTAGTTAAGCCAGTCTCATCTTTTTGCAAATAAACAACTTTTGAAATAAAAAGTGCGTATGGCAGGTTATTTGTTCAGTACATGAAACTGAAATTCATGCCCTGGTTTTGTTGGTTAAATTATGAGACTAGTTTTTAGGTGAGTGTATTTGGTGTTGAGAGGATATTGGTGGCAGGTGTAGGAGCAGGTTTGGTTATGTTTAGCTTAGGAACAATACCCAAGATAAATCTGGGTTTGTGCAGTCACCCAAGTTTAGAGAGATCCAGGAGGTCTTGTTTCTGTTCCCTCAGTCCCAAATAGGCAGATGTACATGGGATTTCCAAGGAGATTCTGAGAATAACATATGTTTATTGTGGAATGTTTCTTAATTTCAACCAACTACTCGGAAATCTCTATTGCATACAGAGCTTGGGAAGATGCAGCTCTTGCTAAAAGAAGGTGACTTCAGAGCTGCTGGCAAGTGTGGCTGGTTGGAGCCACAGCAACCTATAATGATTGTAAGGCATATATATATAGTGATGACCTAGGACCTCACATTGCAGGTGTCCCTTTGAGCTATTTTGTTGTTACAGAAATACAGTTGTGCTGTCATTATGTATGTTTTGTTTAAATATTAATGCCATTTATCTTAGTGCCATGGGTTATTTTGCCTTTTCAGTACATTCTTCAGCACACAGAAAGGGAATAAAAGCATGTGTGTCTTCTGATGGTCCTGCAGAAGAGACAGGAACCTTTTGTCCTACACACTTGTTAAACAGCTGTGCATAGGGATCATAAGTGTGTTATTAGTTGTGCTTAAACTAGACTTGTGATGCGTATTTTGTGTGTGGCATGAATGCATTTGCTTTGTATGATTACAGTGGGAAATCATGCTTCAGAAACATTCTTTGAGAATGTTTTTTAAACAAGATCTTGAAATGCATCTGTACCCTTTATGTGGTAATGCACTTGCTTCTATAGAGATGGACACAGAAATACAGTTGGCCTTGCAAGCATGCATGCCCTTTTGCAGGAACATGCAAGATCAAAGGTTTGCATTGTTTGCAGGTGCATTTTGAGAGGCTGATTATAGACTTGACACTTAATGCAGTACACTGATTACCTTGGGGGTCCAATCATGCAAAGATTTACAGCTGAGGGTTGTACTGGCCACTGTGAGGAATCCCACTGACTGTAATTTTGAAAGAACTCACTGTGCAGCAGAGAAGTAAAATTTGGCATGGAGAAGTAAACACTCCAGATGATCTCTAATGTAGTCTCCGAAAGCTGTCAGAAGCTGCAAAATTGGCTTTGGCAAGTTTCTAAACTTCTGTCTAAGAGAGATTTTTCTCTGTATTGATAGAAATTATGTGCCTTAGTTTTCTCTCTTTCAAGGCAGTGATGTATAAATTTCTGAAATATGAAAAAGCTGGGGGAAGCCTGAAGCCATACAAGTTTTCCTTTTTCCTTCTTCAGCGTGTTGTAAAAACAGTGTAAATGTTTGAGATAATAAGGGAAGATATGCCAAGGAAAAATCTCTTGTTCTCTAACTACATCCATTTAAGATATAATCATTCTGGTGATGGAATGTTATGACTCTGAAGGTAACATGTAACATTCTGATCTTTTTAGTCTTTGAGATGTTGGTACTCGGCAATAATGCTAACTTTTAGCTTTTTTCATTTTTCCAAAGTGTTAGAAATGAAGAAATGCAAGTTTGGCATGAAAACGAACATAGACTTTTGAGGTCCACTTACCAGGAGAGGATGGAGGTTTCAGCCACAAAACGAAACCAACTTTTTCAAGAAAAGAAGTGGTTACAGGTAACAGGACTGCAAAGTTCTCCAAGCACCAGTGCTGTGTGGGGAAAAGCTTGTAAGCTGTCACACAATTCAGTACATTTATTGTAATAGTGACTTTGCTTCTGTGCAGCAATTAGAGCCTTGGCTGTAGTCCAGTTGATATCTAAGTGATGATTGGAGATGGCAGCCACAGGAGCTGAGTTAATCTCATTATGGAGAAGCAGAACTTCAAGGCTCGGTGGCTTGTGTACATGCTTTAACTTCCCTCATTATCTTTTGAAGTGTCCTCTCTATGTTCTAATTTGCCATTCTACTATTTCACTGATCTCCAGAAATTTTTATTCAAAGACAAAAAGTTTTCATCTGATTCTGGTTAGAATTGACTGTAAATACATAATTTACCAGCTTTTGTTCCTGAAAGATGGTTGATGCATTTCATAAAGATGAAGGAATCATCATGGAGCTGTTAACATTTGCCAGCAGTAACTTTACACTGACATGTGATGTCAGAATGCGGTAGTTTGGCAAATGGAATGCTTTTAAGATGGCTTCTGTCCAGTTTTTAATCTGTAAGTCTTTTCTGCAAAATTTAGCTCTTTTCACTGTCCTTCAAAAAATCCCAATTTACTGGCTAGTGCAAGTCTTTGCTCCGCCTCCTTGGCAATCACACTTGGCAATGTGACACTTTAGAGAGCTACTAGGTCTTGTCTTAATATCCCACTATTTTTGATACTATTTTTCCTTTGGTGGATCTGATAGTATAATCATCTGTTTATTTGTATACACACAAATATGTATATGAAAACCAGAAAGAACTAGAGCAAAGTATTTACTGGTTATTGCAAAATCTAACCTATATGAAAAAATGTCTTTTCTATCCTAGTCTTCACCTTTGTACTGTTTAATTTATTTCATCAATATGTAAGAGTATAGTTCAACATTATCAGTGTTCAGAAAGACATTTTTAATAACGTAGATGTCTAGCCAGCTACCTCAAGATACTCAACTGAAAACTACTGTAGTTAAGACTCCACGCCAGGTAACGTTTTTATACTTTTCCATGTGAATCTTTATTCTTACGTAGTTATGCTAGGAACAAATTAGTCACAGTGTTGCACAGGCATGCTATTTATGAGCATTTGATCAAAATTATCACTAATTTGAGCTTCTGGAAAAGAAGGCTGACCTATGGCATTTGGTGACTTCCAAGCATCCCTTAAGGATTGCTCCTTTCCAAAATCTCCTGTGATCTGAAAACATCAGTGTTGTTTGTTTTCGGTTTGCTCCTCCCCTCCTTTCTCCTCCTCCTTTTTTTTTCTCCTCCTCCTTTTTTTTTCTCCTCCTCCTTTTTTTTCTCCTCCTCCTTTTTTTTTTTCCTCCTCCTTTTTTTTTTCCTCCTCCTTTTCTCTCTCTGTTGTTGGATCTGCGTTTTGTCTTCAGTGATTAGAAAGCGTATGACAGTATCTAAAATTTACATAGTAATGTTTCTACTGTAATCTGTGTTTCATGGAGAACACCAGCCCATAAGTGAAGCTGGAGGTTTACAATCAGTACTCATTAGCTGTCATGTTACAGAAACCTCAGTCTAAACTCAAGTCCACAAAGTACAACTCCGGCTTATGTTTAGTGAGCCGAATATAATCTGCTGCTCCACACTGAGGCTTTAAGTCCTTTTTATCTGTCCCTGGAGGCTGACCAGGAGCCCATTAAAAGCTTCTTGGCATTTCTGGAAAAGAAGGCAGAAGAATTTCAGTTTACTGACTAAATTTCCATTCTCCCAAGAATACCTGTGAACTATTCCTGATTGGAACAGCTTTCTCTCTGTGAATGCAGATTGTGTGCTTCTGCTATCTATTTATGTTGCAAAAACACTTTGGTACTAGAAGTGTGTTTGTAAAACCAAATTCTGTTTATCTCCCTTTCTGTTCCCATGTAGGTTGCTTATTGGAGTGATTGCAATTACTACGTTTTTACAGAGTATGAAGGTCTTTGTATAAAGTAGGGCCTATGAAGATTTTGGCACTATTCCCAAACTGGTAACAGAGACAGAATTGTCCTTTGTGCACACTAAAAGCCTAATTTAAGACTGAAAGAAATAAAACTGATGTTTTTGGCCTGCTGACCTTTCTGTCATTGACAAATGCCTGTAGATTGAAACATGGGCCATTCTGTTCTCTTGTTGCTAAACCTAAAACCAAAAAGGAGGAAAATAATTGATGAATTTAGTGTGCCAGTACTAATATAAGTTGAAATTTTGGAGCCAGTCAACCTTTTAAGATGCTAGGACTGTTTCTTGTCATTTTAAGTGATACTCAGGGAGCTTATTGCAGTGCAGCAAACCTGAAAGTATGTTTGTTGACAAAATGAGCATTAGACAACTAAATTTCACTTAAAATACACTGAAAATATTAAAATCATATTAAGGTTTGAAAGCAAAGCACTCAAAAAGCAAGTAAGTGCTTAAGTTGGTTATCTGTGCATAGTATGTATGCTTTATGAAAGTGTTCAATTATATGAACATGCCTCTTTTTCTGGATTCCTGCTGCATATGTTGAAGATGCAAAGTGCTTGTTTAGATATTCAGAATACCATTTTTGTCTTCATTACTCATTATTCAGCACCATTTTACTGTATGTCACTCAAACCCTCTTTTCGTTTCAGATGTATTAATTTGTGAGTGGGCTCTTTTTACAGCATTAATCAACATGGCATCAGAGTGATTCAAAACCACTTAATTTTATCTCCACATTGATTTGGGTGATGAGGTACTCTTATTGCCATTTTACAGCTAGAGAATGAAGAAGTGAATTGCTATAAAAAGCTATATGGTCATTTCTAAGGTCAATTTTGTAATGCCTAATTATTTACCTGTGAAAGGTTTTGTTTTGAGGTTGTTTTAATTTTATTTTTTTGTTAATTTCTATTTTTAGCTGGACTGAATATAATCAGAATATGGAATTATCAGCCTTGATTTCTGTTGAGAGTCTATAGGTAGCACTTCAGAGACCCCTCTTTCTGGTTCTATGGAAGATAGTGAACATTCAGTCCGTGACTGTGTGTGGGGGTAGTAGTTTAAGTGGCTTGCAAAGTTTCACAGAAACTGTATGAAGTGTTAGGAATAGAATCAATTTTCCAGGGTGGTTTTAAACTACTTCAATAGCAAGTAGTTATCCTTTTTTCTTTTCTTTCTTTTTCTTTTTAGCCTCACTTTTCAGGTGGGACAAAGGAGCCAAGGGCTAGGTATTAAATACCTTTATTAACTCGTCAACCCTGACTCCTTCATGAAGTGCTCCTTCCTAGGGTGCAAGCTACCTGTTGTCTTTCCAAGGAAAAATTAGAATGTGCTTTTGCAGAAACTTCAGAACCATAATGCATGGTATTTGAACCTCTAGCAAGACAAGTGCAACTGAGGTTTGAAGCTGTGGTCCTTTTAAGTCAAGGGAGGGATTTTATGCTTTTAATTTAAGTTAAATACTAGTAATCAAAAGGACTTGCTAGGCAGTCAGTGATTTGCAATTTACATCCTGATGCTGGATTGAAAGCCTAGAGAAGCCATTGCAGAGATACTCTGCAGGAGGACAGATATATGGTTGATCACGTTATCTGTCAGTCTGTAGCAAGATTCTCTTGTCATACTTGAACTGAGATTTTGTTTTGATTAAAGTAGCTCTGTATTTTAAAAGTAAAAGGTGGCTGATGAAGAAGAACCTGAAATTTGGTATTGAAATGGAGGTGGGGTGTTCGGATTGTTAGCACTAAAGTTTTTAAATATGATAAACGTAAGAGTTATTGTGTGTCATCAAAAGAATGTCTTCTTATTTAATGTGCTAAATTGGAGAACCTTAATTCATGCTACTCTAGGGACTTGTATTTGTCTAAGAGTAGAAGGGTTTCTCTAACAGGGTTTGTTGTAAGCTCATGTTTTTGCTCTCTGCAGAAGGAAATTGAAGACCTCCGAGCAAGACTGGCCATATTGGAAGCAAAAGATCAACAGCTAAGAAGAGAAATTGAAGAACAAGATAGGCTTATTCAGTCACAGGACTGTGAACTGACTGCTTTACTTGGCTGTGTTTCTTTGCGAGAACTACAGGAAATAAGCAAGGCTGTGGGTGACACTTTAGCATTGTCCTATCAAATTCCATTCAGTCTGGATCTTCCGGGGACAATAAAGAGGTATTAAAATTTCAGCATGTTGTCAGTAATGTAGAGGCTTGTATCTTCCCAAAACAATGTTGAATTTGCTGTCAGTTGTTTTCTTCATAATTGCGCAAGCAAAGTAGCTGAATTCAGACACTTTAAAATTTTCTAAGGAGAGATGTTGAAGTTCTAATATTAATATACTTTCTCAGGAAGAAAGACTTTGTAGTTATTTGCAGGTCTTGCACTTAATAACTTTTTATGGTAAAGAGCCACTTACAGAAAGCCTATGTATCCATTAACTGCTAATACCTATCATCAGTTTAAACTATTTCTTTTTAACTGGTGGATTTCCCCTGCCAGCCTGTACCCTCCATCCCCAGCTTGGTAATTGCAGTAATTACAACATGTTTCTCGTAGCCTGGAAGTCAGTACTAGGCATCATCTGAATAAATATTGGAGATGCTTCTTGCTTCAGTGAACTTCCAATCATAATAAATTCTGAGTGTTACACTCAGATGGTGGGCTTCAGGTAGCAGGGGAAGGATGCAGCGTGCAGACTTTTGAGGTCCCTACCCGTAAATGCACAGTGTATGGTTCCTTTAAATGGAAAAGTAGCTACTCTTGGTAACCTATTGGAAATAACCTCATCTTTATTTATGAAAGCAACACAAGTGCTCAGAGCCTAAACAGTACTGGCAGGTAATGGGATGTTGGTGATGGAACTTTGAAAGTGTTGTGTCGCCAGGACAAAATAAAATCTCTGTTTATCCGAACTTGCATTTCTTCCAGATAAGCAATAACTACATTTCTTGCCTTTTTTTTCCTCCCTTCATGTTTGTTGGATTTAGCTTGGTTATATTAACATTCATAAGAAATTGCTGCTCATGTGTGCTAATTTATACAGATATTTTTATTTAAAGTCAGCAGAACATTTTGTAAAGGACATATTCATCTCTTTTCAGGTTTGGTTAAAATTTTATATTAAGTTATGGGAAATATTTTATTGAATTAAGTTTAGTTTTGTTTAATAGTATCTTATACCTGTGTTTCCAAGATTGGGGAATAAAAAGTCTCAAGCAGTCTGTCAGAACACAGGCTTTGATTTTTCTCTCAGTTTGATATTTATTTATGAAAGAATATTTAGTTTTTTTTTTTTTCCCCTCTCACAATGCTGATGCAATATTTGAGTTGCCCTTAACTCTTTGGGAAATGATTTAAAGATGAGTTAAATTAGTACTGGTTCAGGAGGAACTTGCTCAGAATTCTTTGCTTGTTAGCACCATGAATAACACAATCACTAGAGGGAAAACAGGCACTATTGAAAGTGGGTTCAAAACTTAAATGAAAACTTAGAATTAATTTGTTTCCTTTCTGTTCGTTTTTAAAAGATGCACTGAATGAAACTTTTCTGGTTTAGTTTTGTTTGTTATCAGCTCTGTGTCACCTGGGACAATGATTGGGTGCTTCTGCTCTCTTTACCGTGCCTGGAATTCTGCTATAAAAAGTGGAGACAGATGAATGCTGGGTTGGGTTGTGCAAGTAAGCCCACTCAGGCAGTCATCTGTGACAACCTTTGGGAACAGTTTAAATCTCCTATATTGGCTTATAGCTAGGTGCTCTTGTCAAACCCTAAAGCCTTTTCTGACCAGAACTAATAGCAGTGGTGTAGATGTCCACCTATGGCATGGTCACTTGGAAGCTAGAGTCATTGGTTCAGAACATGGAAGCTCTGCATTCAGGTCCTCTGCAGACTGACTGGATCTGAACCTACCATCTCAGAGTAAGCTCTTATCTGCCAAGGATTTCAGTGTTCTGGCAGGAAGCATGTTCCATCACAGTTCTTAAGTTGGGTCTTAATGTATCTAGTAATGCAAAAGCAGAAATCTGCCAAAAGGCTAGAAGGCAATGGGAGCCCTGACTCTGGGAGAGTGAAAGTGGGGAGGATCGATGATTATAGCACTCAGCTGAGATGAGAGACTGATATGGTGGTCATATCTGTTGAGGGATTTGACAACTGTCCCTCAAGAGTTATTTTTTTTTGTTTTTTTTTTTTTTCCTTTCTTCTATTACAACTTCAAAGTGAGCTGATAGGAATGTGTCACAACATGGCTGATGCAGTCTTTCAATGAAGCAATGTACCACTCACTGTCTATTCAGCAGCTTTCCTGTCTGCAGAAGATGGTGGCTTGCCCTGAATTAAAAACATCTTGTAGGTGTTTTCTCTACATGATGCGGCTTCTTGGTCTTGTACATCCCACTCAAAATCTGCTCAGGTATTGTATATGCTGTAGCTGCTGCTCTGTTGAAAAGTGCACAAGCTGTCTTGGAAGCACAGACTGACATCTCCAGTCCAGCTGTGTGACTCAACCACTTGACGTTATCATACAGCCCCTTGCTTGCCTTTGGTTCTCAAATCTCTTCCCTCAGTCATAGAATCCTTGAATGGTTTGGGTTGGAAAAGGACCTTAAGAACATCAAGTTTGAACCCCCGCTGCCATGGGTGGGGATGCCTCCCCCTAGACCATGTTGCCCAAGGCCATGTCCAGCCAGGCCATGAACACTGCCAGAGATGGAGCATTCACAACTTCCTTGCGAAACCTGTTTCAGTGCCTCACCGCCCTCACAGTAAAGACCTTCTTCCTTACATCCAACCTGAACTTTCCCTGTTCAAGTTTAAACTCATTACCCATTGTCTTATCGCTACAGTCCCTAGTGAAGAGTCCCTCTCCAGCACCCTTGTAGACCCCCTTCAGATACTGGAAGGCTGCTATGAGGTCTCCACGCTGAACAGTCCCAACTTTCTCAGCTTATCTTCATATGGGAGGTGCTCCAGTCCCCTGATCATCCTTGTGGGCCTCCTCTGGACTTGTTCCAACAGTTCCATGTCCTTTTTATGCTGAGGACACCAGAACTGCACACAATACTCCAAGTGGGGTCTCATGAGACCAGAGTAGAGGGCAGGATGACCTCCTTCGACCTGCTGGTCACGCTCCTTTTGGTACAGCCCAGGATATGCTTTGCTTTCTGGATGTTCTTTCCTTTAAAGCTGTGCAGTCTATCATACCTCAGGTACAGTGATTTTATGTTTGCATCCAGTCATGTTGTGTTCTCTCTTTCTGTAAGAGAAAAAGCAGTAGCAGATAGTAAGACATATGGTGTGGATATACTTCCTGTATGCCTATGGGCATCCCCTACATTGTCATACAATTATAGAATGATTCAGGAGGTCATCTTGTCAAACTCCAGCTCAGTTTCCAGGTGAGATTAGGTTGCTCAGGGCCCTATCTGTCTTAAGTTTTGCTTGTCTCCAAGGATTTTTTTGGCCCATATCTAGCTGGAATTGTATTGGCTATCCTAAATTAGTCTTGTGAACGGCAATTGTGTATTAGGTAGCAGGTTAAGATACTTGATGAAGTAAGTTGAGCATATTAGTTTTAAATTAAAAAGTCTTGGGATATTTAATATGGAATAGATTTTTCTGGAAATGTACTTTTTATTTTATGAATAATAATGCCTTCTAAAGTTTGGGCTACCTGTATGAGAAATAAAGCTATTACTCATGCACATTTATTAAAGATCAGTGCTTATGCAGAAAGTTGTTCAGTATCAATATGCTCTAAATTACAGTCTCTTGGCTATCGGGTTGCAAGATACTATGTATTCTAACTGCATTGTCCTAAGTACTGCTGTAATGTGCTTTGGCATAATTATTTGTTGGGTACATGAATTGCATTCAGTACTGGAATTACACAGGGCTAGTCTGAAGCATCAAGACAATCTGTGCTAAAATTAATTGTATTGAGTGGCTTGTAGCTCACTATAAAATACAAATTATTTTGTTTTTCTTGGTCTAAATGCTACTAAATAACAACTTATTAAAGTAAACTTCAGGGAATGTTGAGAGAACATCTTAAATGAAGAATAATTGCCCAGATAGAAGTGTGCAGAAGCAAGAGCGCAAGTCAGCGTAATATTGGGCTAAGGATTTTTTCTAAGCTTATTTTTCTTGCCAAACTTCATTATTTTCAGGCAGATTCTTTGTTTTGTCTTATCTTCTGTTTGTGGTGGACTTTTGAAAATAAGCCTTTGTCAGTAACAGTAGTATGTTTTGAGTCTGAAGAATTGAGAAATATTACCCTGGGTTCTTTCTTGTGGGCTTTTGGAAGCTGAGGTTAAAACCTGGCTGGTTAATGTGCAAGCAAATGCATTAGCTTGTGTTTTGACAGGGATTTTCATCAAGGTTGAGACCACAGTATGTGTAGTTTTGCTCATCCAGACAGGCCTAATTGCCCTTGGTAAACTAAAGGGTGTAATCATTATTATAAAAGGAGGAAATTGCAGTGCAAAAGCTCAGTTCGTTTTGTGTGGGGATGTGTTTAAAAGGTGGGAACAGCTGGTGTTGTGTGCACTGTGACATATGTTAGTGTTTTAACTAAAAATGATGTACTGAAATCAGAGGAAAATAGGACTGAATATTTCAGTGGAAAGTACTTTCTCCTGGAGATTGCAAAATGTAACAAAATGTGTAAATTCCATACTCTACTGAAGAGGACACCATTTCAGAAATATGTTTTTAACTGGTGTAACTTGGATCTTCTATCTATAAGACTGTTTTTAATTATTTGACATGCTCTCTTCAATACTTGTTTTTTCCTTTTTTTGTTTCTTTTCACAATGCAAACTGGGATGTCTCTTACGTTCATACTTGGTTTCATTTGGCATTGTGGTTTTTTCCATATCTACAGATATATGCAACTGTACAGCATGTGATCCTTAAACTAAATTGCACAGTTCCATCTGGACTACTGTTTGGGCACTGAATGCTGGCTGAAAGAAAGAAATTCAATTAAATATCTTTCAAAATATTTTAATACTCCACCTCTCCTTCTACCCCTCCCATGGACCAATTTTTAATTAGTAGGAATTTGTTCTGCAGTGGGTATGTGGGATTTTCTGAAGATAGGGAAATTCTCTGTTCTATGCATTAGTTATTATAGTACTGTCATGCCTAGTGGTGCACAGAACTGAAGTTT